GATCTTCACAAGAAAAAAATTTGACATTTAGAGTATGTTTCGAATCATTAAAAAAATAGTATTTGCTGATTTTATCTGAAATCATGTAAAGTTAAGGGTTCCCTTTGAAGAGAATGAGGATTTAAACACTTGTCCTTGAAGGTTTTCCATGTCATGAAGCTATATTTCTTCTAAGATGTACAAAAAAAGAGGCACTAAAAGCATCCACCACCTGGTATGGTGGCACATGCCTACAATCCCGGCATTCTGGAAGGCAGAGACAGCAGCATCACAAGTTTAATCCAAGCATGGTCAACTTAGTGGCACCAATTACAAAATTTAAAAAATGTTTAAAGGGATGGGATGTAGCTCAGTGTGAAGGCAAGGTTTAATCCCCAGTACCCAAAAAAATGCATTATAAAGTAATTCTGCCTACAGACCCTATCCATTTTAACAGACAAAAACAAGGAATAGGACAGTATTAAGACAATTAAGACAAATTCATGCAAAAAAATTAATCGTGTACAGTCTGCATTTAGAGCTATCATCTTTCTTTCTTCCTTTCTTTCCTTCCTTCCTTCCTTCCTTCCTTCCTTTCTTTCTTTTGTACTCAGAACCTTGCATTTGCAAGGCAGGCACATAGTGCCACTGAGCTAAATCCCCAGCCCTATAGCTATCATATTGATGATGACCACACACAAAATGGTGATCCTTTGTCCTTCTGGACTGTATTCTGATTTACTAAAGATACAGCATGTTTTCTAATCAATGATTTTATATTTTCAATCCTGCCCCTACCAAGGATAGCATATGAAATGAGAAGACAACTCTATTTATCTGCCTCTATCCTGACCTCTTCCTTCTTTACCTTGCAGCTCCCGTTAGGGAGTCAGGATGGTCAATCAGGTATTTGAATTTATTCCTTCGAATAGGCTGCTGCCAGACATGGTCTACAGCACGTGGAAGGGTACCCTGGGAAAAAGCAAAAAGCACAGAAATGTCCAACAGAGGGCGCACTAGTCAAATGAAATATTAACTGATTTTGAATAGTTACATTAGGGGAATTTGGATACTCTATGGAATAAAGAAAGAAAGAACTTATTCAATAACGTGGAAAAAACTGAAACTAGGATAATTCCAAAATGAATGAATATATTAAGACTGATGAGTAGTAATAATCATTTTGGTAAATTTACATAAAAACAGGTTAATGGAAATAAGCCTTGGAAATATTGGTGTAAAAGATCTAAGCTTTCAATCTAGAAAATTACTTTCAAAAAATTTTAAGACCATCTGGAATACCTAATATATGCTCACACTTAATGAAGCAGATAACAAAAAGATAATGTTCCCAAGTACTCTACATACATACACACGCACCTTAAGGGTTTTAACTTTCGTAGGAGGCAGTACATTTTCCGGATAAGGACCAGCACTGGTGGCAAAGCTCAGGGAAAGCAGAACTTCCACAGGGATGAATTCATTCTGAAGGGAAGTAGGAAGATGTTTGGAACTATCCACCATATTTTTTTTTCTCCCTTATGTCAGGAAGTCCTAAGAAAGTAATAAGAAAAGCTCTTATTGTAGTTTTTTTAATGGAGCATCCTAGAATGCCTTATCATCCTCATCTATCTGTTTCTAAAAGAGAGAAACACTCCTTCTAATTGACAAGAATGGTAACAAGTAATACTTAAAACACTGCATAAGAGAAATATATGGCCTGTCCTATTCACATCACATCAGACACAGGTTCAAAACCTCAGGTGCAAAGATATACCTGAATTATACAAAATTCGAAGTTGAGAATTACACTCACTTCACTTAATTAACTGGGATAGTCTTAAGATGATGGGAATGAACATCTGTTTTTCCTTTGATGTAAAAATGACAAAAGAAGCCTCTCCTCCAAATTACTAGATTGTTTAGTAATTTTTCTTATATAAATTTAAAGGTAAAAATAATTGCATTGCACTGAGGTTGGGAGGGATCTGAATTGAGTTCAAAAATAAAAGTAGGAACTGGAATATATCTCATGATAGACTGCTTAACTGGAATCCACAAAACCCAGGGTTCAACCTCCGGCCAAAAGAAAACTAAAAGTAGGTCTGGGATGGTGGGAAATGAAAAGTGGAACAATCTGAGAAAATCATTGCAATAAAAACTGTAAAAATAATTCTACTCAGCTTACTAGGGCAGAGGAATTAAAAAAAATGGTTAGGAGGTCTAAGATTGGAAAAGGCCTTCTATGAACTCAGTCAGTAGAGTTGAGCTGCCACCATTTTTAATGCCTCCCACATGGAACAACTGACATTAATTTTATAAGGAAACTTTGATTTAAAAAAACTCCTGAAAGTTTATATTATTAAATAGAGAGAGAGAGAGAGAGAGAGACTACTTTTTCCACTTTAAAGATTCGGGTGACTAGGTTGGGCTCACTCTGAAAAACCAGGATTTCCTCCATCTCAGGGTCCTGAACCTTTATCACACTGCAAAATCCTTTTTGCTACATAACGTATGTAGTCACAAGTTAAGGAATTAACAGTGAGAGAGAAAGAGAAAGGGGGCGGGAAGTGCTGGGTGGGACCTTACCAAATCTCCCCTAAAAACTAGGGAAGGTGAGGTTAGACAAAGCTTTGTCCTAACAAGGGGAGGGGTGACTCTAGCTGATTCTTATCCTGGTACAGATCTGCAATTATATTTACATATCTATCTATATCAATATATTCTATATATTGAAGTACTGAAGATATTATCTCAGGGCCTTCCTGAGCCAGATTCACGTAGGCCTTTTCAATTTTTTTTTTTTGAGACAGGGTCTTGCTAAATTGCTGAATTTGGGCTCCAATGTGCCATCCTCCTGCCCCAGCTTCCCAGAGTGCTGGGATGAAATACTCTCATTTAGAAAAACTACTAAAACCTGATACAGTCATTTTGTACTTACTTGTATGTGTTATCTCTGCTATTATTTGGTTTTTGCTTTTGAAACAGGGAGGCTGTGTCAGAGGATCACTGGGATCAAGCCTGGCCAACACAGAGAGACTTCTCAGAAAACAAAAAAGGATAAGGAAAATACAGGATTGTGATTTGTCAGTGGCTGTTATTAGGCAGGTGTGGGGGTGGCATGGTACTGGAGATAAAATTCAGGGCCTTTGCACTGAGCTGCTTTGCCAGCCCTCTTTTATTTTACTTTGATTGGTTTGTTTTTTGAGACAGTGTTTGATAAGTCGCTAAACTGCCTTAAATGGGCTGGAATTTAGGTTTCTCCTACCTCAGCCTCCTAGAGTGCTGGGATTACAGGCCTGTGCCACCACACCTAGCAATGACTGTAATCATTTGTCTTTGAGATCCTTCAACTTTACTTCTTGTCTCCTTGAGGGCCGATACTTTTGACTTCCTAGGGTCATAAGATGCTGGAGAGTTTAACGGTGAGGCTGGCGTTTTCGGGAGAGACATAATAATGCTTCCCATCATCCATTTTAGTAATGTGACATATTCCTTCAGAAAGATAACTCACAAATAAATCAGTCTGCTACAGGCACTTCTGGGACTTTCAGGTTACTACACTGTCCTGTAGGGAAAACAAAACAAACAAAAGACTCATTAAAGTGCTTATGTTTAGACTGGGGTTTCAGAATCACTCTTCCGTGGTTTACCCTCTTTCGGAGTCCTCTGTGATCTCTCAGGCCATCTGTCCTGACTCAAGTTTGCAGGGGCGTCAGGCTCTGGGCAGAGGCCGGGAAGGACACCCGCACAACCCACCCGCTGACCCTGCGCACTGGCCGGCGGCAGCTCGGTGGCGAGCTCTAGGCAGTCAGTTAGGGACTCCAACCTCTCCCACAAGCAGTGCCCTCGGCACTCAGGGGTCTGGCAGCGCTAGGGCTTTCATCGTTTCTTCATTTAAACCGAAGGGAAACGGACACTTGAAAGCTGAACCAGCAAAATGTGTTTTTCGCCAGGCGCTGGCAGCCTCACCTTTTCCCGGAAAGCCTTGCGTTGTCATAGAAACCTAGGACCCCGGGCCCTAGCAACTCTCAATAGGGGCTGTCTTCAGCGGTGCCTGCAGAAGAAAATTACAGGTGGAAAACAATCCCTACTGTCTCGGATTTCCAGTGTGTGCTAAATCACAGCATAGTTTCAATAGAAATAGAGAAGCAAATGGTTAATTGGGCCATTGTCTCGGAATCTCAGGGTCTCGACACCAGGGGGGCGGACAGGCAGGCGCGGGCAAGGTCATTTCCAGTGCCTGAAAAATTTATGATTGTTGTATTTCAACAAAGAAGCAAACCATAAAAAATGGTTTGAAATGTGCAAGAAAGAAATTCGTTCATAATACATTAAAAACGGTGCTGTCACAGAACAGGAAAACTCTTCAGGGTTTCTCTCCGCATATGACCACAAGAGGGTGAACGTGCACAACAGTGACGACACAGAAGCCTCTACATGTGTCTAAGAATGTCCAGGGCTGCAGGCTGGTCCTAGGCATTATAATTCCTGCTTCTTCATTCATTGTCATAGCCTACTCTTTTCACCCGGGAATAATTTCATACCTTTCCCACTGCCATTTTTTCCAGTAGACTCCTGTCCTTAGGACAATGAACAATCATGCAAGTCTCAGAATGACCTAACGGTCAATGACGGAATTGTCTGAAACCCCGTTCTGCCCTCACATTCAGAGACATGCATGTCCTGTACAGGTCTGAGGAAATGACTCACGAGGTGCCTACACTTGAACAGGACCTTTCTAATGAAGGAAAGGGACCGTGGACCTCGTCCCTGGAGTGTGAACTACTCACACTGCTGGGTGTCAAGAGGACAGGGATCAAAGTGGTCCTCATCCAGGTGGAAAAAGTACAAACCTGTGTTCCCCACAGTCTATCAGACTCACAGTTGCCCACAGCCACCGTGTCCTCTTGGCTTCAGAGATCAGACTGAAACAATATAACTCTCCAGCTCCTTAGGAACTGTGGGCACATTCTGCCAATGACTAAAAATGACAGGCAGAAAGAGTGGACTGCACCCAAAGCCTGTACATTGAACTTCTTCCCCAATCTTTCCTCTTTTGTAATTTTGAGACAAGGTGACTATAAGTTTCCCAACCTGGGCTCCAACTTGTGATCTTTCGGAGTCAACCTTCTGAGCCACTGGGATTACAAGTCTGTGCCACCTTGCCCAGCTGATTGGTACTTTGTAAACTTCAGTCATGTGTCATTTCAAAAATGTGTACATTGTTAGAAATACAACATGAAGCAGTTTTGTTATTTTCCAAACATCATAGAGTGGATTTACACAAACTAAGATGGCTGAGACATCACCAGGTGATATGATCTGTGAGACCATCATGGTACACCTGGTCTGCCACTGATGGAAACATTGTTATGCAGTACATGCCTGTCCTAACATAGTAGTTTATGTTGATAAAATACTTTAATAAATATTTAAGCTAAAATCTTTTAACATGCTTTTTGTAGTAAATTTTAAATTATCATACTTAGGATATTTGGGTCAATTATAATTAATATTGGCTTGCAATTTCTTTTCTTGTACTATATTGGTTGGGTTTGGATATCAGAGTTTTAATTTAAAAT